TGGCCTATGAGACTGGCTGAATGCACACGCAGCTCTTGCCGCGCGTGCGCATTCAGCCGAAAGGGAGGAGAGGAGGAGGATCGGAGGAGAGCTCTCCGCCCGGCGCTGGAAAAAGGTAAGTTTTAACCCTTTCCTCTCCCCAGAGCTGGGCGGGAGGGGGTCCCTCAGGGCACTATAGTGCTCCTTTAATATGAAAGAGGCGAATTATGCCTGAACAGATATATGGCGCAAATTCCAGGTTTTGTTTACATTTTGTTTTGATCAGAACGTGTACTATTGACTCAGTCCTTAACCCCTTAAGGACACATGACATGTGTGACATGTCACGATTCCCTTTTATTCCAGAAGTTTGGTCCTTAATGGGTTTAATAATAAAATACAAATCACTCTAAGCAACTCCTGGTTATTATTAATATTTGGTAAAGTTAACATTATTAACCAGGCTGGTGGCAGGGCTGAGAGTGATGTGAGTGAGGTTTATCAAACTGTCAGTGAAATATGCTAACTGAACTGGAACAATCTCCAATTCTTCAATCCACACTGGGTGTAGCAAGATGGCCGCACTTGGTTATCACGTGACAGTCCTGTACTCCTAATCACGTGACCTGTAAAACATGGCTGCTTCCAGCTCAGCCAGACATGTGTGTTAGTAACAGGACACCAGGTGATTATACCCTCACTTTATATTATATAATAGCAATAATAATCATCAATAATATAATATTACAGCATTTTATTATTATTATTATCATCCCCAGCTATCACTGAGCAGGGACTATAATCACTGTCTGCACTGTAGCACTGTTATTATTATTATTATTATTATTATTATTATTATTATTATCATCCCCAGCTGTAACTGAGCAGGAACTATAATCACTGACTGCAATGTAGCACTGTTATTATTATTATTATTATTCCCAACTGTCACTGAGCAGGGACTTTAATCACTGTCTGCACTGTAGCACTGTTATTATTATTATTATTATTATCAGTATTATCCCCAGCTGTAACTGAGCAGGGACTTTAATCACTGTCTGCACTGTAGCACTGTTATTATTATTATCATTATTATCCCCAGCTGTAACTGAGCAGGGACTATAATCACTGTCTGCACTGTAGCACAGTGACAGCTGTGGATAATAATGTTATTATCCCCAGCTGTAACTGAGCAGGGAATGTAATCACTGTCTGAACTGTAGCACTATTATTATTATTCCCAACTGTCACTGAGCAGGGACTATAATCACTGTCTGCACTGTAGCACTGTTATTATTATCATTATTATCCCCAGCTGTAACTGAGCAGGGACTATAATCACTGTCTGCACTGTAGCACAGTGACAGCTGTGGATAATAATGTTATTATCCCCAGCTGTAACTGAGCAGGGAATGTAATCACTGTCTGAACTGTAGCACTATTATTATTATTATTATTATTATTATTATTATTATCATCCCCAGCTGTAACTGAGCAGGAACTATAATCACTGACTGCAATGTAGCACTGTTATTATTATTATTATTATTATTATTATTATTATTCCCAGCTGTAACTGAGCAGGGACTGTAATCACTGTCTGAACTGTAGCACTGTTATTATTATCATTATTATTATTATTATTATTATTATGAGCCCCAGCTGTCACTGAGCAGGAACTATAATCACTGTGTGCACCATAGCACTGTTATTATTATCCCCAGCTGTCACTGAGCAGGGACTAATCTAGGGATCGACCGATATTAATTTTTTAGAGCCGATACCGATATTCTGTGAACTTTCAGGCCAATAGCCGATATAATTTGCAGATATTCTGTACATTTACCATTTTGGAAAATAAAAACTATTTCTAAAGGTAAATGCACAAAATATACATGCCACGTGTAGTGTTTGTGTAGTGTGTGTGTGTTGTGGATGCAATGTGTGTTTGTGTAGTGTGTGTGTGTTGTGGATGCAGTGTGTGGTTGTGGATGCAGTGTGTGTGTGTGGTTGTGGATGCAGTGTGTGTGTGTGTTGTGGATGCAGTGTGTGTGTGTGTGTTGTGGATGCAGTGTGTGTGTGTGTTGTGGATGCAGTGTGTTTGTGTAGTGTGCGTGTGTGTGTTGTGGATGCAGTGTGTGTTTGTGTAGTGTGCATTATATAAACACTCTACACAAACACACTGCATTATATACACACACTATACAAACACACTGTATTATATACACACACTATACAAACACACTGCATTATATACACCGTGTGTTTGTGTAGTGTATGTGTATATAATGGAGTATGTGTGTGAGGGGGCATTTTTTATTAAATTATTATTTTTTTATATTATTATTATTTTTGTTGCCTGGCCAGGGAGGGGGATATAGCAATCCCTGGTGGTCCAATGGCTTTGGCTGAGCTGTGGGGGGGGACGGGCAGCAAACGCTTACGCACCTCAAAGCAGCTCCTCCAGCTCCCCATTGTAAGTCTCGCGGCCAGCGTGCCGCCCGGGTCTCGTGAGCGTTACACTGGGGAGCTGGAGGAGCTGCTGGGAGGTGAGTAAGCGCTTGCTGCCCGTCCCCCCAGGACCGCCGGGTTTATAATGGGCCTGGCGGTATTATCGGCAATATCTGTATCTGAATTGGCCGATACTGATATTGCTGAAAATCGGTCGATCCCTACTGTAATCATTGTCTGCACTATACTGTTGTTGTTGTTATTATTATCCCCAGTTGTCACTGAGCAAGGACTATAATCACTGTCTGCGCTGTAGCACTGTTGTTGTTATTATTATTATTATTATTAATATTATTATCCCCAGTTATCACTGAGCGGGGACTGTAATCACTGTCTGCACTTTAGCACTGTTATTATTATTATTATCCCCAGCTGTAACTGAGCAGGGACTGTAATCACTGTCTGCACTGTTATTATTATTATTATTATTATTATTAACAGTGCTACAGTGCAGACAGTGATTACAGTCCCTGCTCAGTGATAGCTGGGGATAATAATAATAATAATGATAATAATAACAGTGCTACAGTTCAGACAGTGATTACAGTCCCTGCTCAGTTACAGCTGGGGATAATAATAATAACAGTGCTAATTATTGTAATTCTCGCGGCCAGCGTGCCGCGCCGGTTTCGCGAGAGTTACACTGGGGAGCTGGAGGAGCTGCTGGGAGGTGAGTAAGCGCTTGCTGTCCGTCCCCCCAGGACCGCCGGGTTTATAATGGGCCTGGCGGTATTATCGGCAATATCTGTATCTGAATTGGCCGATACTGATATTGCTGAAAATCGGTCGATCCCTACTGTAATCATTGTCTGCACTATAGACTGTTGTTGTTGTTGTTATTATTATCCCCAGTTATCACTGAGCAGGGACTGTAATCACTGTCTGCGCTGTAGTACTGTTGTTGTTGTTGTTGTTGTTATTATTATTATCCCCAGCTATCACTGAGCAGGGACTGTAATCACTGTCTGCACTTTAGCACTGTTATTATTATCACCAGCTGTCACTGAGAAGGGAGTATAATCACTGTCTGCACTGTTATTATTATTATTATTATTATTATTATTATCCCCAGCTGTAACTGAGCAGGGACTATAATCACTGTCTGCACTGTTATTATTACTATTATTATTATTTATTATTATTATTATCCCCAGCTATCACTGAGCAGGGACTTTAATCACTGTCTGCACTGTAGCACTGTTAATAATAATAATAATAATAATAATAATAACAGTGCTACAGTGCAGACAGTGATTACAGTCCCTGCTCAGTTACAGCTAGGGATAATAATAATAACAGTGCTAAAGTGCAGACAGTGATTACAGTCCCTGCTTAGTGATAGCTGGGGATGATGATAATAATAATAATTAATTACAGTGCAGACAGTGATTACAGTCCCTGGGGATGATAATAATAATAATAATAATAATGCAGACAGTGATTATACTCCCTTCTCAGTGATAGCTGGGGATAATATTATTATTATTATTATTATTAATATTATCCCCAGCTATCACTGAGAAGGGAGTATAATCACTGTCTGCATTATTATTATTATTATTATTATTATTATTATTATTATTAACAGTGCTACAGTGCAGACAGTGATTACAGTCCCTGCTCAGTTACAGCTAGGGATAATAATAATAACAGTGCTAAAGTGCAGACAGTGATTACAGTCCCTGCTTAGTGATAGCTGGGGATGATAATAATAATTACAGTGCAGACAGTGATTACAGTCCCTGCTCAGTGACAGCTGGGGATATTATTTGTGACGAGACCAATCTCGCCACATTGCATTGGAGAAGCCTGGTTGCTCGCCTGCTGCCTTTGGACTATGGCCCCCTTTTTAAAGACTTTATTTTTGCCTGCAGAAAAGCTGTATTCGTGCTTTTCTGCCTGGGGTTCAGTAGATTTGTTTGAATGTGT